TCAAAGTGGGCAGGAATCCAAGAGATGCCATGCCTCTGACTGTGGAGAAGCATGTGGGTTCCAAGCGGAGAGAACACGTGGTCACTGGCATGGTGGTCAAACCCTGTGGGCTCCTGGTGCTCCTGGCCTATTCTCACGAGGGCTGAGCGTCTCCTGGTTGGCATCGCCTTGACATAACACACTGCTGCTACTTCCGTAACACTGAATGGAAACCTGCTCGTTTACATGAATGTTTACTTTAGCTGAGGGCATCTCAAGAACTCCCGTGGACTGAGACTGGTGGGCAGAATTCTTAAGATGGCCCAAGATCCTGACCATGTTGCAGGGGCCCCAGGTGAGCCCCTATCCTGAGTGTGGTGGGACCAGGGGACAGGGTCTCACAGCTGCCCCCTGAATTGGGTTATGCTGCATGGGAAAGGTGATGGTCACTCCTGTGATGGCATTCCATTAAAGGACCCTGTAGCAGCAGTTTCTCCTGTCGGCCTTGAAGAAGCAAGCTGCCATGGCTTCTAAGGCAGCAAGAAAATGAATTCTGCCAAGAATAGTGTGAGCTTGGAAGAGGACCTAAGCCTCAGATGAGACTTCAGGCCTGGCCAACACCTTGACTGCAGCCATGTAAGACCTCAAGCAGAGGACTCAGCTAAACCGTGTCAGGATTCTGTGATTCAATGGAAACTGTGAGATAATGACCAGATATTGTTTTGGACCCCAGAGTTTGTAGTAACTTGTTACATAGCAATAGCTAACTGATACAGCAACCTGCTGCATAGAGCCTGGATGCAGCAGATGCCTAAGACCACCTGGCAGGCCTTAACTAGATAGATTATCAGCAGGGAAAATAAAATCCAGGCTAAGAAATCACCAAGAAAGGCAGAGAGGAACCCCAAAGGATGGACAGGCATAAGAGAAGAGATGCTGAATGGAGACAAGGAAGCCAAATCCTGCCCTACCCTGACACTACAGGGGAGGGAAAGAAAGCACAGCCACACTTCACAAGGTTATGAGGAGAACTGGGTCCTCTGGGGAATTCCAGGCCAAGACCAATAGGGGAAGGGAACATACAAGGAAAGGCAGAGTTGTAAGGGACTTTACAGTTTACCACTAAAACCAGACAAAACAGAGAAGACAGAATCCTGCTCTGACCCAAACATTTGCTTGGGAAGGCAAGAAAAAAATGAAAAAACTCTAATGAGCATTTTTATGCACTTGACTTAGAAACACTGGATTTAAAAAAAAAAAAAAAACCTTCACTCCTGATCCACACTCTGGAGACAACACAACCATATTCTCTCCTGGGGCCCTGACTGGCACACAACCACTCACATCTCGTGCCAGGCTGAGGCAGCTCCCAGGATGGCGAGGGAGCCAGGAGCTGCTGCCAGCAGGGCCATCTGCTCACCAATTCCCACAGTCTGAACAGCACGGCTTCCAAAAGGGTATTGCCGGAGGCCAGCAGCAGTCTGCACACGCAGAGAGCAGGGGAGAGGAGCAAAAGAACAGGGTCTAAGCTGCTCTGTGTCAGTCAGTTCTATTCTGGGCAGGAGATGATCAGTTCCTGAGACATTTTCCAGAAGGCCTTCAGGGAAACTGTCTGAAGTACAACATTGATTCTGCAAAGTGTGCATTCCTATTTGCATATTACAGAGATGTAGCTGGATAAAGGATTTAGGCGGCTCCAAGTCACAGAGCATCCACAGTGGTGGCACTCTCAGGGCCAGCCCAGTGAAACGCGGTGGACACAGCACTTGCAGGGAGTCAGCCCCTCTAATTCTATGTTGTGCACTAACACCAATCTGAGCAAAATCTTATATAGACCAAAGGCAGCAACTGTTCTCCAAACCCATCATGGACCTGACTGTGCGAGGAGCCCCACACAAACTACTCCTGACCCCGAACCCCACGTCTTTCCTCTCCAGCTTGCTCTTTCTCATACATGTACACAATTTACTGCAGGCTCAAAACTAAGTTAATATATTTACGCTGTTAAGATGCTATGTGCAGGCAGGAAACTAAGGAGCTATCACTAAAGGACGCGCCAAAAGTTAAGGACGATACAAAAGCATGTGTACCTGCCACCTCAGGCAGGTGTGGTACCTGAAACAGAGGGAGGAGCCAAGAGCTACTTGCATCTTCTGCAGAGAGGGGAGCTGTAAACATTGGGGTGAGAGCACTTTGACCTGGCTGTGAGGACTGCAGCCCACTGAAAAGGGAACTGGCTTAGAGAAAGAGCACAGTCAGGGAGCAGGGCGACGACCTCCTGTTGGGTTGAAAAATAGCACATGTAAGAGCGGGTGGGAGGAAAGGCCAGCAAGAGAGGGTGAAAGCGGAATGCAGAAAAGACTGGAAGAAGCGCAGGGATGCTTTGAGATTAGCGTTGATATGTGAGTCCGGATGGAGGGATGGATTGATGTGCGGCCCGGGGTAGAACGGTGGAGGTATAAGAACCTGTCACCAGGGGGGCTGGGAAACGAGAGGGCAGGTGAGACAAGATCCAATCCCTGTGATTCGGCAATTTAGCAGCTATGAGTGAGCCAAAGACAACTTCTTGGATGACTGCAAAGATGAAACTATCAACTAAGGGCGGACAGAGCGGGGAGATGAGGAAAGAGGACTATCCTGCTGTCTCCAGTTTTTCTCCCTTACCAGCATCCCTTAGAAACTAAATCACGTCAGTTTACCACCAGGTTCAATCTGAAGAAAAGAGAAATCTGCTCTCCCTAACTCTCCTCCTGCCGGACAAGCAAAAACCACTGACTTTTCCATACATTTTCTTCTCTAAGACAGACTTTGAAAAAAAAAAAAAAGCCTGAAAATACAAATTAACACACAGATGTGAATAAGTTTCAGCCAAAGCTTAAACCAGGACATCAGAACTATTCTTGTTTGGCTAGAAGGGTTAGAAAGCAGGATGGTGTCCCCTGCCTAACAAGGGGGACTGAAATGTCAAGGTGAGTGAAGAGGGACTGAAAAGGGAACCTGAGAGGGTAAGTTCAGAACCAGGTCCCCAACTCCAGCGTAGGGTCTCCCAGTGCTGACAGAGCCACTGGGGACATGCTGAAAGCAGTGAGGAGGGACTCACAGTGGTCATCATACTGATCTGACATCCTGGGAGGCACTGCCACGAGTTAGTGGTGGTCCTCAGTTCTGGGCTTGGCACTGCCTCTAACCACCTGGGTGACATTAGGCAAGTTCCCTCACCTACACGTCCAAGACAGCTGATTTAACCAAACAACTAAACTGGTCGCAGAAGGCAGAGCGGTATAATAAACTCAGGTGTGAGAAGCACAGAGGCCTCACTTCAAATATGTTCCATAGGCAACTGGGGGCCTGAGGCTCCTCACCTGTGAACTGGGAAAATACCCGCCCCATCCCCTTAGGGTTGTTGTGGGATTAAATATGCAAATACATAGAGCTGCTGACACACTACTTCCTTTCCCCTTGTAAGTCCTCTCCAGCTCCAAACTGTGCAGAGAAAGGGACCTTTTATTGGCACATACACATTTTCATATCACTGCTATTTGTAAATTCTTATTAACTGAAAACAATTCAAAACACTATGCTGTCAGCTAAATAAAGGCAATTAAAAAAAAAATAGCTCTTTGCCCCAAAGACAATCTAAGTGAGCGATCTAACTCCTGGGCAACAGCCCTGAAGAAAGGGATGCGGGTCAAAGGGTGGAAGAGATTCTGACTCCGGGTAAGGGCTGGAGGGAGGCTGGGACGGGAAGACTAATGCCTGAAGCTGCTCTGAGGGTCCTACACAATGGTCAGCAAGCCCTTCTCCCAGGTCTGCCCCCTGAATAGCCTCCTAGGAGCATAGTTTAACTTCTTCCCCTCTCTGCCTCCAAGCAGAGAGCTGAAGGCCAGTGTTATCTACAGCATAGCCCACTACTGCCCCCACTTGGGAATCCAGTTGAATCCAGCCTTCCAGCCCTGACCAAGACCCTGAGCAACCGAAAATCCTAGGCGAAAGAGTAAATTTGCCGCCGTTGCTCATCATTCCTTGAATGTAACATTAAAATAAGGACCTGGCAATTGAAATGAGACATCTGATTTTTGCAGGCTGTTATTTCCTTTTCAATACAATCTTTGGAAATCATGTGTGCCACAATAAAAGTGAGTATTTTCCCTCCCTCAAACACACAGAAACTTCGAAAACAGGCCAAATATATTTCTACCACTTCTGCATTCTGCTTCTGAGTTTAACCAGGAGAACATCCTGCTCTCAGTAACAAATGGTTGACCCCAGTTTCTGAACACATATTTCCTTTTCCAATTAATTTTCCTCCTCCTCACAAGATGAAATCGACATTTTTTTTTTTTTTTTTTTAAAGAACAATATCCCTGAAACTCTGTTTACTTTTTTAAACTCTTAAGAGTCAGAGTTTAAGAATGGCTCTTTGGTGCAGAGGAATATGTTATATAATGAAGCGCTAAATCCTCTGTAAAACAATAAAATACCCAAAGGGAAAGTCTTAATTTTTGGCAAGGAAGAACAAAAAATGCTTTTGGTGTTTACAAGTGAATACGGCAACTAAGGATTACAGCTTCAGGAACTTTTAAAATGAGCATAGCTAAAGATTTCTCACAAGCTCACACACACAAAACCACCTTGAATTAATAAACTTAGGGGCCTGAATGTCTGTTTCAAATCAGCAATGTGCTTACCTCAAAAGGAAGACCTTATCAAAAGCAGGACAGAAATGTGAGAGCATATTACATAATTATTTTTTTAAAGCAAAGGGTAAAATCTGGGGAAAAAAACACATAAAGATGTTCATAATAGTTAAAGCAAGAGTGGCAGAATGGCAATTATTTTCCTTCTTTTCTATGTTATATGATGTTTTTAAAGCTGTTTATAGCAGAACATGTATAATTTTTAAAGAACTACTAAAAAATTGGTGTTGTTTTTTTTTTGAGGGTTCTCCCTTTCAGAAAGAAACAAGAGTATTTCTTACCTGCTTGGAAGATTTAAGAACAAAAAATTAAAAGTCTGCTTACCTGAGGTTTAACTTTCGATCTTCATCACTGCCAACCTCCAACTACAGAGAAAGAAAGAGACTGTCACACCATAGACACCATGAGCAACAAGCCTCAGACACAAGTCTCACATTTTCTGCTCTGGTGTCCGAAAAAGATACGGATGTCCAGGAAACCTGGGTATTTCTAAACAACCGCACCCTTTCCTTACCAACCCCATTCTGCTGGTCCTTGGAGTCATTTCCACGGAGGAATTTAGAGGTTTCCCAAGGTTTATCCACATTTTTTCCACAGTATCATGGATCGATAGCTGGTAAGTGAACATTACTATCTGGCACTGTTGCTTAACACAATCGTCCAGCCCTCAGTTCTCAACTTTCCAGGGTTATTTTGAATCTTATCCTGTTTTTCTTTTTTAAGGGGAGGGGGCTGTGTTTTCAGAGAATCCATTTCCTTCTTCAAGCTAGGCCATAGCTAGGTGATCAACACCACTGTAAGCCCCAAAAGACTGGCAAAAAATTAAAAAAAAAAATTTTTTTTTAATTTAAAAAAACCATTCCAGGCAAGTCTTTCATAATGGAAAGTGGCCAGGATCAGGCTATCTGTCTGTAGGTCTCAAAAGCTCTTAGGTTCTTAAAAAGGCTTAAATGTTGAATATAAAACTTTGTAGGCAATTCGTTTATTTATATAAATGTAAGAAAAGGACATTTAATATTTTCTAAAAGTTAAAAGGCCAAGAGGGGAGGCTCTAGAAGTAACCTTGACCTAAGCCCCAATTGCAATTTTTCTTTTTTTTTCTTTCATGGAGAAAACTGAAATGAGAAGAAAACACACACACATCCCCAAACAACTATACCATTGGGAATTGGCATGTTTTGTATGTTACACAGAGGAGCCTATTGAATGGGAAAGAGAAACCTGGAAAGCAGTGATGGCTGGGAGAGATGCAAGGCTGATCGAGGACAGAAACCAGACAGAAGCCAAAAGGGATGGGAAAAGGGTACAGGGCTAATGCAAGGAGGGGTCTGGGCAGCAAGACTCACACCAGAGTCCCTAAATTTTATTAAGATAATGTATGTATAGTATGACGCAGAGGCATATACTGGTGGCCAGTTAGTTCTCACGCTCCCTACCCCACACTGAAGAAGTGAAAAAATCAGGGAGTGCTTTGCTGACCACAGGGCCATGATCTTCAGTCCTGAAAGTGAAGCACACACAAAACCACTCACACAACAACCACCACAAACTTAGAAGAGAATGTTGGGTCTAACCCAGTGATTCTTGCCCTGGGACAATTTTTCTCAGCAGGGGACGCTGGGCAATGTTTGGAGCCAGTTTTTGGAGTATGCTACTGGCATCTAGTGGGTAAAGAACAGAGTGCTGCTAAACATCCTACAAAACGCAAGAAGGCCCCCCACAACCGAAAATTTTGGGTACCCAATGTCAGAAATGCAAAGGTTGAGAGACCTTAATCCAACCACAAAAGAGAGACTGAAGATCTGCCCAGGGAAATTAGTCACCTTGAACATTTGTCAAAAATAACAGTGTGACAATCCATTTCTGAAAGTTATTGATTTATCTATTCTTGTGCTCTCTCCAGTTCTCACAAAGGAATGAGATAAGATTAACAGTAAAATGACATAAATGAGATCATTTAAGATTGGGCGGGGGGGGGGGGTGGACGAGCATTGTTTTGCTGACCAGGCCGTGATTTCCCTCTGTCCCCACACCATGCAGCAGGACAGCCTGGGTCAGGAAACAGCTGCCCTAAGTGTCTCTAACTTGGTGAAGGATTTTGATAAGTGATGAAGTGATCTGGGGGTTTGAATTCAAGACTATTTAATTCTCGGTCACTCTTTGTGATTCTCATGATGAAAGGCAACATAAGGTCAGTGATTCCAGAGAAGCAAGCTACATACGTCAAAGAACCACACACAAGAAGGAAGCCAGCCCTTTCAGATGAGGCCCCGAGAAGGGAAGTAACCCAAGGAAGGTCAGGCTAGAGGCAGGGCTGCCCAGCCCCTCGTCTCCTGACTCTGTGCCCATGTGCGTGCACTTGCCATTCTGTCTTGCTTCTTCATGCCCCAGCCCATCTGGAAGAAAGCCTTGCCTTCCAGGGGACATCCCAGTCTCTGCTCACTCACTGGGTGACTAATGCTGCCGATCTACTGAAGTCAAATAAAAGCTGGCTAAGTTTTACTCTATATTTATCAGGTCATTGGCACCTTGTGAAAATAATATTTTCTATAAAATTTAAAATTTGTCTGGTGGAAACAACCAAATGCCCAACAAAATGTGGTCTATCCATACAAGGGAATATTAGTTGGTAATAAACAGGAATGCAGTACTGACATATGCTACAACATGGATAAGCCTTGAAAACATGATGCTAAGTGAAAGAAGCCAGACACAAAAGACCACATATATCATTCCATGCATATGAAATGCCCAAAATAGGCAAATTCATAGAGACAGAAAGTACATTAGTGGTTGCCTAGAGTTAGTGAGAGCGGGGTAGGGTGGGGGTGGGTGGAACAGAAGCTGTGGGTGATGATGATTAAGGGATGTGGGGTTTCTGTTTGGAGTGAGGAAAATGTTCTGGAATTAGTGGTGATGGTTGCACAACTTTGTGAATATACTAAAAACCACTGAATTGTATACTTTAAAATGGTGAATTTATGGTATGTGAATGATATCTCAGCTAAAAAATAAAATAAAAAATGTTTAATGTGTCGCAGGCAGGAATAGATCAAGTGTAACACAAAAGTTTAGAATCAGAGACCCAAGCCAAGAGACCCTCTGTATAACCTTTCTGAAGCTGAACTCTTCACTCATCTCACATAGTTTCTGAGGAGGGAACATGAGATTAAGTGCATGGAAGTACTTTGTCAACTGCAAGACAGCAGTAATAAGAATGATGTAGAAGAACAGATGTCTCTGTAGGAAGGAGACAAGCTACTGCAAGCCTGACTTTTCAGTTGCAGGCAACTGGCCACCAATGTTCTTTCTCAGCGTGCAGAGGAGGGACTGTCAGAATGTTCTGTCTGCAGACCAGATAATTCATTGGTGGCCTCTCCTCCAGAGGAGGGGGCAGCCTCTCTGAAAATGTTCCTGCCAGTCCCAGCAAAACAGGCTAAAGAGCTACGCTGCCAGGAGCCAGTGGGACAGACAGGGCTGCTAAACCAAATCCAGGTCCTCATCTCTGTCCCTATAGATGCACAGAAACCTTTCCATGCTATCAGTCAAATTCCTTCACAAAGAGGCCTGAATCACCCAGACTCTGGCGGGGCCACTTCCTGGGCCTGCAGGGCTCCTCCTCCAGCTTTCTCTCCCTTCTCTAAACAGTCCACAGTCTCGTCCTCCAGCTGCTCTGTATTCAGGCCTTGCTATGGATATGAGTTTAGACCAGAGGCCTTAACCGGTTCTCCAAGAAAAGGTGGGCAGGAGTGGGGAGGAGAGGGTCCGCCCTGCAGCTGCAGGAGTGACCTGCTCAGAGGCCTGAGGCCCCAGCTTAGAAGAGTCCAGCCCAACTGTTGACTAAGAGGTCCAACCTCAATCGACCTCAGAGCAAGAAGCAGCCTGGTCACACGCAAACCCACAGGAACCTGCACAGAGCAGCCATGTAGCTCCAAAACGCACCCATGCAACCATAGAAACCCCAGAATCCGCCTCCACCACACAGCCAAGATGCACGGTAAACATGAAGTCTGGAATGATACTACGAAAAGGGAAAACTCAGACTCAGCTGCACACAAAGACATGACACAGTCACATAGCACCCTGAGCTCAGTTGCTGTCACACAGTGACACAGGCCCAGAGGGGCACAGCCACAGACACGAAGAGCTAGAACTCCAAGGATGAGCAGTCAGGGAAACACTCTCATATTCACCGGGGCATCCTGGTGGCCTCTCACAGCATCATAAGCACAGTTCCCAGTACACAGGCCAGAGTCACACACAATCTCACATACACACAGCCAGGCGCTCAGGAAAAGGGCCTAGACCAGCCACAGGGTCACAAATCTCAGAACCGGAGTCTCGCACAGTCACCCAATCGGGAGTCCCAGGTGCACATCCAGTCTCCCGCACAGTCAGCCTCAGATGGGGGTCACTGTCACACACACACACACACACACACACACACACACACACACACACACGTATATATATATTTCCAAAATTAATTTCAGATGATTTAACTCACTTTTCTACGTGAATTCTTATTCCTGATTAATGGTAAGGCATTCGCATGTACCAAATGTCTCAA